TGAGGGAACACCAACTATATGCTAAGTTTAGTAAGTGCCAATTTTGGTTAGATGAAGTGGCATTTTTGGGACACGTCATATCTACTCAAGGTATTTTGGTGGATCCTCAAAAGGTAGCAGCAGTGGAGAATTGGGAGCAACCACGAACTGTCACTGAGGTACGGAGTTTTCTTGGTTTAGCAAGGTATTACCGGCAGTTTGTTAAGGATTTTTCCATGATTGCTTTACTATTGACGAGGTTAACTAGGAAGGAAGTTAAATTTGAGTGGGATGATAATTGTGAGTAGAGTTTCCAGCAGTTAAAGTATTGTCTCATTCATGCACCTATTTTGGCACTTCCAGACGATAGTGGTAATTTCAAAGTCTACAGTGATGCTTCCTTGAATGATCTGGGATGTGTATTGATGCAGCATGGTAGGGTGATTGCTTATGCTTCACGACAATTAAAGCCTCATGTGATGACTTACCCTACTCATGATTTGGAGTTAGCGGCCATTATCTTTGGCTTGAAGATGTGGAGACATTATCTTTATGGTGAGAAATGTAAGATATTTACGAATCATAAGAGTCTTCAATATCTTTTCACTTAGAGTAACCTTAATTTTCGTCAACGGAGATGGTTGGAATTGCTTAGTGATTATGATTGCACGATTGATTATCACCCTAGTCGTGCGAATATGGTAGCTGATGCACTTAGCAGGAAATCTCAAGGTCGTATTAACGCATTGTACGCTAATCATGTCCTCTTCTGGCAGACTTAAGATCAACTGGAGTGCGGTTAGAGGTTGAAGATCAGGAGGTAGCCTTGCTAATTTTCAAGTTAGGCCGATTTTAATTGATCGTGTACTTGAAGCTCAGATGCTTGATGAAGAGACCCAGGAAATAATTCAAGCAAGGAATCAAGGGAAAAAGAAAGACTTCAGAGCTCGAGAATCGGATGGCATGCTTATGCAGGATAGTAGAATGTTTGTGCCAAATAATTTGGAATTAAAGAAAGTAATTCTTGATGAAGCGCATATCTCAGCTTATGCGATGCATCCTGGAGGTACTAAAATGTATCATACCATTCGACCATTCTATTATTGGCCGGGTATGAAAAAAAAGATAGCTAAGTATGTGAGTAGGTGTGCCATTTGTCAACAAGTTAAAGTTGAAAGGAAGAAGCCGTGCTGGTTGTTGTAGCCGCTTCCCATTCCAGAGTGGAAATGGGAAAATATTACTATGGATTTTGTGTACAAGCTTCCGCGTACACATAATGGTTTTGACGGCATTTGGATGATAGTTGATTGGCTTACTAAGTCAGCGCATTTTATTCCAATAAGGGAAAAGTATTCTTTGGGCCGATTAGCTGAGTTATTCATATCAAAGATTGTGAAGTACCATGGAGTTCCAGTGAGTATTGTCTCGGATCGTGACCCAAGATTTACTTCTAAATTTTGGGTGGCTTTTCAGGAAGCTTTGGGTACGAGATTACTCTACAGTACGACATATCATCCTCAGACAGACGGACAATCTGAGAGGACCATTCAGACGTTGGAGGATATGTTGAGATCTTTGGTGTTGCAATTCGGCGATGCTTGGCACAAACAATTAGATTTAATGGAATTTGGCTACAACAACAACTTTCATTCGAGTATTGGCATGTCACCATTTGAGGCACTATATGGTAAATATTATCGAACATCCTTGTGTTGGTCAGAAGTCGGAGAAAGAGTTTTAGTAGGCCTCGAGATTGTAGGTGAGACTACTCAAAATGTTCAGGTAATTAAGTCTAACTTGAAGACGGCCCAGGATCGACAAAAGAGCTTAACAGACCGGCATGCTACTAACAGAGTGTATGAAGTGGGTGATTGGGTGTTTCTGAAGTTGTCATCGTGGAGAGGTGTAGTACGGTTCATAAAGAAAGGTAAGAGAAGTCCCAGGTATATCGAACCATATGTGATCATCGAACGAGTTGGTGAAGTGGCTTACAGGCTTAAGTTGCCTTCTGAGCTAGCTAGAGTACGTAATGTTTTTCATGTGTCCATGCTTCGTCATTACGTTGCGGATCCGTCCCATGTGATACCTCCTCAACCATTGGAAATTAATCCGGATTTGACATATGACGAGGAGTAACGATTCTGGATTGGAAAGAAAAGGTTATGAGGACTATGAGTTTAGTGAAAGTTTTGTGGAGTAATCACTCAGTGGAGGAGGCTACTTGGGAGACAGAAGATCAGATGAGAGATTTGTATCCTCGGTTGTTCTACGATTACTAATGGGTAGTTGAGTTGTTGTTTTGAATGTCGAGACGAAATTTCTTAAGGTGGGTAGGTTGTGACAGCCCGTCCCGAATTAATTGTACCGTAGGTGTGAAATGATGATTTTGCCCTAGTGGTTATTTGTCATTTTGGGTGATTGTTTTGTGGCTTTGTTGGTTGCAACTGGACCACAGACTTTCATCCTCATCTCCTTCCCCGTGTATCCCTCTCTGTCTCGAACTCTCTCTCTCTCTCTCTCTCTTCTTCTCCATTTGTACGGACGAGACCCAAAACCCTTGAAAACGTTGCAGATCGAGGTGGAAAATTGTACCTTTGTGTTCGTGAGGATCATACGAGTCCAACCATACCAATTACAAATAAGGAATCCTTCGATTTCACGTCAAACTAGGAATCTCCAATTTGGTTCATGCACACGTGAAATATTGTTTTTCAAGGAATTTGAAGCTTATAAGAAGCTTAGTGAGGTTCTTAGGAAGCTCAGGTTGGTTCGTTGGGTGGATTTGAACGTCGGGATCGTGAGTTACAAGTTTGGCCGATTTTTCTTGAATTTCTCTGACGACCACTCGTGATCTTTGAGGTTTCAAATAGGTATAATGTTGTTCTACTCATCTCCAACTTTCCATTGGTGCAAATTTCATAGAAATTGGTGAAGAAATGAGTGAGAGCGAAAGGTTTAAAGTTTTTCCAGATTTCCGGCAACCGGCATTTCGTTAGAGAAGACGACAGTATATTCTGTTAGTTTTGGACGGAATTTGTGGACGCCGTCAGTGTGCCTAGCATGTGGCCACGCGTGGGGGGCGCATAGGTCAGTGCACTAGCCGGCGCATGGAGCATCGGAAAATTATTTTAAAAATATGGGGATGTTCATGAGGTTGAGTAGATCACGTTGGTGTATTCATACACCCCGTTTGAGCATTGTATGAGAAGTTATTACCTAGTGTTGGTTATGTGCTTTAATTGACATTTTTATAGTTGTTTCGCATATAGGTGAGACCTATCCTGAGGACGAGCGTAGTCACTTAAGGCTCAGGGGTTACGACCCTTCCACATATCAGTGAGTGGGCTTTTGGTTTTCTATATATACCTATATACTTGTTGTTTTTCCTGGAAATTGAAATAGAATGTTATTATGTTTTTAAAAGGCCATGCATAGTCTTTGCATACTTATTTATGCATGAATTGCAATGTATATGTATGTTTGGTGCTGCGGACGCACAGGTAAGTGCCAACTAAGTTACAGTTATGGTTGTATTGTAGTAGTTATGTGAAATGCATAGAGAGCTAATAACCTGCACCCCCGGTATTAGTGCTCCCGCCCAAAGTTAGGGCACAGTCTTTCATGTGATGTTCACCTCCCGCACCATACGCTTACCTTGGATCTAAGTTAGGTGCACAATCCTGTCATACAGACCACTATAGGTGGTTCCGACTCGTAGGTGACCCACGATTATTTGCCCAATCTTCACGTGATCGTAGCACTTGAGCGTATTTATTTACACCCAATCCTGTCGTACAGACCACTTAAGGTGGTTCCGACTCATGTGCAGGTATAGTTAGTGAGTTGGGGATTTGAGCTCTAGATTCAGCCGTATAGGTCATGTTAGGTGACTCTGGCTGACATGTTATTTATATTGATTAGCATACCTGGGTTACTTACACTTTATGTTGAAGTATTTGACATGGCATATTTCTAAACATGTTTTCGATATATGTGTATATCTTATTTTCTGGGAAACTATACAGGTTTTACAGCGAGGGGCTAGAACTTTTGATAATGAAATGATTTTGAAAAGCTTTGTTTTTGCCCACTCACACTTTCTGTTTTGCGCCTCTCCAGGTTCTAGTTTGGATTGCTCTTTTAGTGGCTTGCGAGGAATCCACGCAGTGTAGGACCACCTATGGGTGTGTTTAGTTAATGTTTGTTCCTTTGGACTACACTAGGCTTTCTGTGCTCTGAATATTGTTTATCACACTTACACTTGCACTTGTACGTTAACTACATTGTTTTGTAGTTTGGTTTTTATTTATTCGTACTTTTTTTACTATCTTTTGCCTCCGCACAGTGCACATGGCTACGTCACCCTCACGTGACAGCCAACATGCCTCGACTCCGGTCGGGGTCTGTCAGGTGCGTTCATCAAAACTCACCAAAAAATTATTGTACCAAACATGGGTACATTCTTCTTAAACATAAAAAAAAATGATATTAGGCTTAATAATATTATTAAATTTCTTCTTTTAAACTTGACATAGATACATTCTCAAATCAACGAAATGAAATGTACCCATATAAGTTGAAAAAATAGATTAGAGAAAAGATTGAATGAATTTTATATAAAAAAAAATGGGTACATTTTATATTAAAAAAAAAGGTACATTTTTCATATAACAAATTGATATATTTAAGAATGGGTACATATAAGATTAAAAAATTGAAAATTTAATTTAATGGGTACAAAACTTATGATAATTTTATTTTTTATACTTTGGAAATGTTTGAATTGAAAATTAATTAGAAGTTTAATAAGGATGTGAGTATTAACACTCTAAATCAATTACTAATTTTTATTATAGAAATTATATAACTTACATGTAATTCATTAATATATTAATATTAAAAATTTTGATTAAAATCGAAAAACTGATAAGGTGTTAGTTAATAAACATTAGAAACTAGGAACGAAAAATAATTTTTCTTAATTATATTTCCTCTAAAGTAAGATTAAAAAGGAAAGAACAACTACCAAATTCCTACACGCATATGGATTTTGATTCCCCAACTTCGAATGGGGATCCTAATGTCTCCCTATATATACCAACATCCACTCTGCACCCGTCCAATATCCACAAGCCTTCGTTGTTTGATTTGTTATTTAAATCAAACATGTGCCGCCGCAAAGTAAGTTCAACTTCGAGTTCCAAGTCGAAGCCGATCGCAATCCGACAAGTGTGGGCCCACAATCTAGACTCTGAGTTCGAACTAATTCGCCAAGTGATCGACGACTGCCCCTTTATTTCGATGGACACAGAATTCCCCGGACTCATATATCGACAGCCGTACAAACACGATACACAGCCGACCGATCACTACAAAAACCTCAAATCCAACGTTGACGATCTCAACCTCATCCAGGTGGGCCTCACCCTCTCCGACTCCGGTGGGAACCTCCCCGACCTCGGCTCCCCGACGCCCTACATCTGGGAATTCAACTTCAACGACTTCGATATCGCCCGGGACCGCCACGCTTCAGACTCCATCCAGCTCCTCCGCCACCAGGGAATCGACTTCGATCGCAACCTCTCCGACGGCATCGCGTCGGCCCGGTTCGCAGAGTTGATGATGTCGTCGGGACTCGTCTGCAACGACTCAGTGAGTTGGGTGGCGTTCCACGGCGCGTACGACTTTGGGTACTTGGTGAAGATCCTCGCGGGCCGGAAGGAATTGCCGAGTGGCATGGAAGAGTTTTTGAGGATTGTGAGGGTATTTTTCGGAAATAGAATTTATGACGTCAAGTACATGATTCGGTTCTGTAACAGCTTGTACGGAGGGCTGGACCAGGTGGCGAAGATTTTAAAGTTGGACCGGGCAGCCGGGAAGTGCCACCAGGCCGGTTCAGATAGCTTGCTGACGTGGCATGCGTTTCAGAAAATTAGGGATGTGTATTTTATGAATGATGGCCCCGAGAAGCACGCGGGAGTCTTGTATGGATTAGAAGTGCTTTGATTTTTTATTTTTTTTTCTTAAGTAAAGCTTCATAATTGTACTTTATTTATTTAATTGCAATTTGGTCAAGTAAAATCATGATTCTAAAAACCGCTAAACGCTAGTCGGACGGTGAGTTAGAGCCTAGCGTCTAGACAGTTAGGCGAAGCCTAAGCAAGCGTTTAAGCGAACTAGGCGGATTTAGATTTATTATATATTATATGACTATATAATTACTTATTTTACGTATCTAATATTATAGTCTAAGGGAAAAAAACCATATTTAAATAATTCATATAACATTCATATATAACATATATATATATATATTTATTTATATCCCAACTATTTAAAGATGATAAGACCATGCAATGCCAGTTGGTGGTTTCAAAATTAAAAACCGGTTCCACTCCACCTCTCTCACATTCCCCAATAAGAAGACCACTGCAGTGTGCCAGTGGTGGTATCAAAATTTAAAACCGGGTTCCACTCCCCAAGGTGGAGCCCAGATCAAAACCACATTTGACCCATTGAAAAGTGAAAATACCATGCCCATTCAACCCTTTCGTTTCTTCATCTTCATTAGCGCTTTCAGAAGCTCAAAGCTAAATCTGCAAGACTGCAACTTGAGCCCGCCGAGGCTTTTTTTCTCTTCTCTCTCTCTCTCTCTCTCTCTCTTCGTACTCTCTCTTCCCTCATATGCTCATAGATGGCAAGCTTCAGAAGCTCACCGAGGCTCTGCTTCTACGTACAACATTGAAAGTTGCAGATTTGTTGAGAGAGTTTGTTTGGGCCCAAAATATTATGATTGGGCCGAGCAGCGAGATGTGCTCGGCCCAAGGTAATGACACATGCTATGGGCCAAATAATGAAACCCGGGCCAGCTGACAGGGTCGGCCATATCCTATCTTAAGTAGTCCAGATGAATGAGGAAAGGTCGAGGAAATCCTGATGCGACCAGGATTCTTGACCGCCAAGGGATAAAGCTTCAAAAAGAGGAGAATTCAGAATCCCAGTAGGACTAGGATTGTTCGAGTTAACGGTGAGATGGGACAAGGACTCCCAATCCAAATCAGAATGGGACTCAAGGAGCGAGGTGCTATAAATACAAGAAATTACGCAATAGAAAAGCCCCTTCACAATCAGCATACAATTGCCCTGCGCAAAACCTCTCAAACACCTTGAGATTTTTCCTTTTCTTTTCCTGCCGACACACCTTCAGTTTGGATAAACAGCACTGTGGAAGCAACCGGTGAGCACCTTCAGTTTGGATAAACAGCACTGCTGCAGCAGAATCAGCCGACCGAGAAACACCTTCAGTTTGGATAAACAGCACTGCGTCGAAGTCGACCGATTATCTATCTAAGTCTCGGCCGAGAAGGGTTTTCGAACCTTTGTTGGTGGAGGTCATCTAACTAAGCCTTTTCGGCATAGTTGGGTGTTACGAGTTGCCTTGCTCGGCGTATTGGACGTCGAGTGAGTTTATGATTGGATACTCGCAAGTAAGTTTCAGGGTTCGGCATTCTGACGGCCGAACTACGTTTACCATCAAGACATAAATCACATTCGAGTACCTGTGCCCATATAGTTTGGTCTCGATTCGGCGTGCTTATACTCTTACGAATATAATCACAGTGACCGAATCAGGGTCCGACGACCTGTGAACTCCGTAGAATTAGTAGCCTTGTCTTCAGGCTATAGAACCCAGAGACCGAGAGCGTTCCTTCCTCGGTCGCAATCGCAAGATACAGAAGTCGATAGCGCACCCAACGCGACATCACATTTTACTCCTCGGCCGAGCTCGGCCGACGAGTTGGCACGTCCCGCATTCAACCGAAGGACGTAGTTAGCTCATTAGTTACTCAGCCTGCGCGCCACGTAGGTTTTGTAATTTTTGTAGTCAACATTTTGGCACGCCCAATGGGACATTTGTGCTAAACCTTCGGAGTTCATGACCGTTGAGACACGGTCTACCAAGAAGAAAACAACCATGGGGAAGTCAACAGCTGACTTACCAGTGCAAGGCCTTGGGCAGGATTCGCACCCAGCAAAAAATCCGATAATTGCCGCGCCGCCCGAGGCTACAAGTGTGACGCGCCGAGAAAACGAAATTTGTCTCGGCGGGCAACCACAAAACGCGGCGATCCCGAATCAAACGACAGGTATGTTCGTGGAAGGGATAGTGGAAGATTGCGACGACGATGGTGGAGAAGGCTCTGATCCACCAACTAGGTCGTTTCTTCGGAGACGACTTGATGAACAGTATCGTCAGGTCGAGCACTCGATTGGTCAAAGGATGAATGATTTGCTAGAAGCAATACGGAGTAACAATGATACACAGACCAGAATGCTCGAGTTATTGGTTAGTAAAGCCTTCGAAGATGGCCCGGTTGGCCAACCTCGGCAGCTCTCGACGAATGTTCCCATACCAGCCGAGAGAGGGTCCGCTCGGCCGCAACCAGTTACCTTAGAAAGAAGGGGACCAGGAAACAGATCCGAGGGACCGAGCCAGGGAGAAGAAGCCGCTTCCGTGAACATGACCGAGGTCCAGAGAATGATTGATTCGGCCTTGAAGAAAGGGCCGAAGTTTCCAAAATTCATTCATCCATACCCAGCTTACGTAGAAAGGTTTGAATACCCACGAGGGTTTAAGATCCCTGATTTCAGCCTCTTCGCCGGGGAATCATCTTTGTCCTCATTAGAACATGTAGCTCGTTTCACAGCGCAGTGTGGGGACGTCAATAGCGACTTCTACAAACTACGTTTGTTCAATTTTTCATTGACAGGCTCCGCCTTCGCCTGGTACATTAATCTTCCACCCAATTCTGTGCAGAGTTGCCATGAACAATTCTATCGGCCAGGGATGGAGATGTCCGTATCATCCTTGGCCAGGATGGCTCAAGCATCCGACGAATCTCCAATGGAGTATCTAACAAGGTTCAAGTCGGCCAAGAATTGGTGCCGAGTACCACTCCCCGAAGTGGAATTCGTCAGGATTGCTCTCAACGGATTAGACGTGGAGTACAAAAAGAAGTTCTTGGGGGCAAACATTCGCGATATGTACGAACTTGCTCAACACGTCGAACAGTATGACTATCTGCTCCGAGAAGAAAAGATATCAAAATCGCCTTCACGGGGCACGTTGTATAAGAACCCCACGGTTAGCTATGCCTCTGCCGAAAGCGGGGACCATCAGTGTGTTAGTGTGGACGCGGCCGAGATAGTCATAGACAAGCCGTACGTCTGCAAGGCTCTGGCTCAAGTAAATGGCAAAGACACCAAAGCCCATTCGGCCGTCGAGGAAATGAATAAGTCTTCGAAAGTCTATACTTTCGACATTACCAAGGCCGATGCAATTTTTGATCAATTATTGGCAGCAAAGATCATCAAGCTTCGGCCAGGACATATTATCCCTAAGGCCGATGAATTGAAGGGAAAGGTATACTGCAAGTATCATAACTCTAATAAGCATGCAACCAATAATTGTGTCGTATTCCGGGATACAATCCAAAGTTGGATCGAGAAAGGAAAGTTGAAATTTCCAGAAAAGCAGATGGCGGTCGACGTCAATCCCTTCCCGTCAACAACAATTGGTATGGTGGATGCTCATCTTCCAAAAAACAAAGGGAAGGCCGAATACGTCCCGGTGCAGCATATCCGTAAAGGGAATGGTCGAACAAGGCTAAAAATCGATCTCTTTTCGAATGTACCACCCACGGAACAATCGGGACCACCTGCCTGCGAGCCTACGACGCGGTCAAATACCGACGATTCTCATGGATCAAAGATTTTATGTGACCATTGTAAAACACCCGTTGAGCCGGAGAAGAAAACATCTTCAACACCACCCAAGGCCCTTACCGCCCCAGTGACATCACCAAAGGAAGTTGGTCCGCGACGTCAAGTGTTCAATCGACTCGGCCCACAAGTACGGCCGAAAGACCAGGCCTCAGTCAGGCGGCGTCTTGACTTCGACGCGCCTTTCTATAATGAGGATTACTACTCGCACAATACCAACAGTTCCAGCTCGTCAGCCGATCGCAAAACCTTCAAACCACCCAGAACATCGGATCAACGCTGGTACAGTTACAACTCCCCGACTGGTTTATATACAGCGCTGTCTAAGTCCCAAAAACGTCGCCGTCAACGGATTGATTGCATGGCTCAGCGACGAGAAGCGCAGGCCAGCACTGCCAACCAGTGGCAGCCAAAGAAGGCCGCGGAAAGCATAAGTGAACGGCCAACCCCAACTATCATGACCGAATTAGCCGAAGGGAAGCAAGTAGCCTCTGCCGGTTTTGAAACCACCGTTGAGGATGCTGAGAAACGTATCAAAATCCTTCTCCGGCCTGGGGAAACGAGAGCTCGTCTAGAACATTTCACACAAGAGGCCGAAAGGAAACTTTCCCCATTACCACGAGAGCTCGTTTATCAAAGTACGGCGCAACCTACATCCCCCATTCCTCGGTGAATCCTTGGAATACATGCGAGAATTTCATAAGAAATACTCCGCCAATGACTTGTACGGACTACCCAAAGCGTGTCAGGAAGCCCTCGACCTCGCTCTCACTTGCCCTGATGCCGAGCAAATCATTCAGAAAACTTCCGATCCAGCAATTAAAGCAAGATTCCAACATATACGGGAGGCTCGGGTACTTGGTTTTGAAGTCGATCCCTATACAGATATCGACACCTCCGAATTACCTTTTTCGCTCGATGACCTTCAGCATTTGCGCTATCATTTCGAAGTTTTTTCGGCTTTATCACTCTTCGGCCTCACGGCCGACGAGGAAAAACGGATAGCACGTTTGGATGCATATCTGGACATGAGGAACGCCCGTATTGCCTATGAAGAACGAGCCCGTATAACAAAGGACCAACCTAAGTCTTCAACAGTCCACATGGTCGAGGAAAATAGCCCACCCACACTCGACTTGGTTAATACGTCTCGGATACCGGCTCTTACCGAGGAACTTAAAAGTCTGATCGAGGATGTTCCGCCGACCGATGCTATGGTTAGTTCCGCAGAAGACGACGACCACGATCCAATGGGTCCCTCGATCCTCGAACAAATGGAGATCAGTATGGTCCACGTCTTACCAGCCGAATTCCAACCAAGTACCCCCCAATCGAATTTCTTGGATGGGGATGTGGTCGCCGAGGAGGCAACACAAGTCGATTTCGTCGCAAACGACGACGACCGAGAAACCCGAAGCACGAACAACCTTAAGGCAGCTTTGGCCGAGCTATTTCCTCGCTCCCCTTCGGTTAATCTCCAACACCTGAAGCCATTGTACATCATGGCTCACATCAAAGGATTCCCTA